TCTTATGAACAATGTTTTATCAATAAATTTGTCAAGTTAGATTAAATGGGAAAATTCTTTGAAAGCTCACTCAAGAAGAAAGATAACTAATACCCACTATATATATATATATATACATACATACACACATATACAAATATAAATTACGGAGTCAAATATTTCTATTCATCTGTGAAAAAAATCAGAAATAAAAACTGCCTTGTCCATCTCTCAGTGTATTTTACTTTTCTATTAGGGTACATATAAATATAAATACACACTTTTCTGTAAGCTTTGACATGAAAAAATAACCATCATCTAACTACAAAAAAGTCTTTAAGTTGTAACTTTTTAAAAATTTGAAACCCTACAAATTATATAAAGTGGTTCAATATAATTACCAACACAATACTCGGCATTGGCACTACCAAACTTTTCTTTAAAGGGAAATTTCTATTGTACTTATTAGTATAAAAAATTATGTCCCTTTTATTCTTCAAACGAAATGAAATTTAATTAACCTAAGCTGTAAGAGGATACTGTATAAAATAACTAGAAAGACCAACTCTAGTTATTCAGATGTTCTCTTTCTGTGCCTGCATTATCCAGATACAATCTAACTTACTGCTTCCTTCTCACCATAACTAGCATTAGAAAAAACTCCCAAATTAAAATATGACTGATGATAAACACATGCTGTCACACAGATATTTTGGCTGTCAATTAGAATTGTCATTTTCAGCTGTTTTCCATTAAGTGGGAATAATTTTTGCAAAGATGCATTTGTATAAGCATATTGGTCCAACCTGTGATTAAAAGTTTTAATTTTGTAGGCAATTTGACAAAAATTTAGCCATTAAAAACAACAAAACTAGTAAGCCCACATAAATACAGAACAAAGGATCTTTGCTTGCCCATTAATAGTGTATTGATGAACTATATTAATTAGTCACACACAAGGTATCTGAATGGGGAACATGAGATAATTTTTTTTTTTATTATCATGACATTACCTATAATCCATATTATAATTTTGGAAGAAAAAAATTAAAACAAAAACAGTATGAAAAATCAGTAACACGCCCAGAAAAACTCAGAAAATAATTGCTTAAAGAATAAAACAACAATGTATTAAAGCTAATGAGCAGTGTCACAACCAATATTTCTATGTATAAAGAACAACTTTTGATGCCCTTCAAAATTATGGTATTATACTAGTTTATATTACAAGTGGACTGTATAATTAAACATCAGGAAAACTTGAAATTAAAGAGTCATATTTGAGACAGAGGACAAATTCTGAGTCAGCTAAAATGATTAATGTTTGTACTTAACATCCTTTGGAAGAACATCTGTCACACATAAAATACAGGGCCAGCAGCACACAAAAGGAAGAACTTAAATACTAAGTCCAAGACAACTCCTAGGAGCAACAGATTGAGGATCTGGAAGTCCCTTGCAGGGATGATAAGTAAGAATCATATGTTGTAAAGGAAGTTGGAAAGCCACTACGATCAATGAAGACTACACAGATGAGGAGAAGCAAGAACAATTCTCATTAGACTGCTCAGTGCAGATGTCTTCCTCCTAAAATTGCAGCACTCCTTAAGAGTTCCACATGATATAAAGAGCAAGAAACTGCCTAAGTAGAGGTGAAGGGTTATGTGGCCTTGGTAAGTCCCACTGACATAGTCTGAGAGCCTCCAATGGTGACAAGTAGCTAAAAAGCCTCCAAAGAAACCAATAAAAATTCTACTTTAACACCTAAAGTTATGAAAGGCTGAAAAAATACCTTATTAAACATCTGGGGCAGAACTACACATCTAGGTAGGAAGAAGAGAGAGAAATGAGTTCAGTAAAATTAGTAAGATAGTTTTATAACTGTGATCAACTGTTTTCATTGAATGCTTAAAGAAAATTTGAAAAGAGCAGAAGGAAAATCTTTTGAGTTTTAATATATTTCATGCCTAGTATTAGACTGCATTTGGTTTAAAAACACCTTTCACTATACAAGTAGCAAACTGAAAAACAAAACAAAAAAAGATGCGTAAGAACATTCCTTTTAAAGGCATTCCTACTGAAGTTAAGATATAAAAAAAATTTCACTAGGCTAGAGTTCTCAAGCAAAGTTAGGTGGTTTTGGTTAGCTGTTCAGGAGACATCTTAACCTGCCTTGCCTCTCTTCTGTTGTAACCATGGGTAGACTACCAGGGAGCAAAGAAGGCTTCAACTAAATGGCAGTGAGCACCAGGAAGCTGCTCACCAAACAGCTTGGCTTGGTACCATATTCTCATCATGGCTCCCAACCCTTTAGTATATAAACCTGACAGTGTGGTATTTTCTGGCAAGTGCTAAGATTTGCCCACTCTTTTAATCTCACTGGTTTGCATATTTATCTATATGCACATATCTGAGACTCTCGATAGACTAAGTGTAGCAGTATCTTCATACAATCAGTATCTTAATACAATACTGAAATAAAGTGGGATGAAAAAAACAATACTCACAGCTAAGAATTAATGATCTCAGAAATACTACTCACCTGTCTGCTGTGCAGGCTGTGGCAGTGGTTGGTTTAGATGTGAATTGTAATGGACAGAAGGGACTGGGCGATACTGAGGTTGACTGGGGTGATAGTGGCCTGGAGCACAATAACAGGCTGGCATCTAGGATAAATATTGAGGGAAAAAATAAATTTTCTTGTAATAAAAATTTTTTTCTGTGAGGAACATCAGAGTATAAAGAGTAACAATTCTTTCCAACACCAATCACTTGAAAACTGATTTTCTTAGCTTTAAATTTAACTGAAAATTGTTTAAAAAATTTCAAACATACAGTACACATAACAAAAGACGCCTAACAATATGCCTACCAATTAGATTTAGTAGGTTTTTTTTGGCCTTATTTGTTTCAGATTTTCCTCTATCTTATAAAACCAAACAGTACTGAAATAACTAAATGCTCACTCCAACATTGCTTTGCTCTACATCCCACAGAAAACCCATTATCCTATAGTTGGAATACATCATTACTATAAATGTTTTAAAACTAGTACCCATACACCTATATATATATATACGTATATATATACACACACATATATACATCTGTTATCCATACATAAAATTATTGAAGATTTAAAAAATTTACATTTATGGTACCCTACTATAATTTTATGAAACTTATTTTTCAATTAACATTGTTTTGAGACTATTTTGGTTGAAACATGTACCGCTAGCTCATTCAATTCAACTGATGAACAGCTATCACTGTATATATGTCAGTTTAACCATTAATGCACAGTTGCACTGGTTCCATTCCTTAATTTTTCTATTAAAATGCCAATACAAAATTTATTTGTCAATTATACCTAAAAAAGGTGGAAAAAAAATGCCAATAAGACTAGCTTGATTTGTTGTTCCTTCCAGAGCTACTAATACCAGGTTTGAATTTCTTTTAATCTGATCCAGGTTGGGGTAAAGTATAAATAACCCTGTCATGTAGAAGTATGTGGTGAGTTAAGTTTACTAGGTTAATGGGCTCTTTCAGGCCCTATTCTTCTGATTATGTCACTTCTAAAAGAAGAGAGGTCTATGGAGATCTTAAGAGTGCCCATTTCATCTGGAAACCAGCCAAGCACAGAATTTCTAGATCAGTTATAAGCCAAGAATCTCCTAAATTTACTGTAATATTCTTCTGTCTTTGAAACATTAGACACACTACATATATGATTCCTTAATTTTTTCTGGAGATATCAACAATCAACAAATGTATCCTGATTTCAGATCTTATCCGTTATTAATACTCTTCAGTATGTGTGTATGTGTATAAATAATATTTTTTTTTATCTTAAATAAACAAAAGACATCACTGTTTAAGGCAAAAATTGTAATACTATTTTTGGTTATAATGTATATATGTAATATATACAGCACAAACAATGGAGAGAGAGTAAATAGAATTATATTGCTAAAATGACTAGTATATTTTACTTGTAGTTTCATATGAACATGAAATAGGTTGTGACAAGCTAAAGATACATATCATACTTCGTAAAGAAACTACACAAACAAGATTCAAAGGGCTATAGATAAAAAACAATAGAAGAAATAAAATGACACACAGAAGAGTTCAGATAATACAAAAGGCAGGAAAATAAGCAGATAGAAATAAAATACAGATAGGACAAATGGAAAACAAACAGCAATGTGGCATACTTACATCTAACCATATCAACAGCCATATTAAAGATAAAAGAACTAGACACTCTAATCAGAATGGACAAAACAGCAAAAATAAATTATATACCATATGTAAAAGACATACTTTAAATATAAAGGTTGCAAACAATTTTGAAAAGAAAAAAAAGAATGAAGTTGGAGGACTCACACTTCCTGATTTTAAATCTCAGTACAAAGACATAGTAATAAAACAGTGTAGCACTGACGTAAGATAAAAATAAAGAATTGTGTAAAAGTGAGAGACCAGAAATAAACTTTTGCATGACTGGTTAACTGATATTTAACAAGGGTACTAAGACTATTCAGTGGGAAAAAAATAGGGTCTTCAACAAATGATGCTGGAACAAATAGATATATACATGCAAAAGAATGAAATTAAACCCTTACCTAATACCACATATAAAAATTACTCAAAATTGTTAAATGACCTAAATATAGGAGCTAAAATCATAACACTTTTAGAAGAAAACAGGGATTAATCTTCATGACCGTGGATTTGGCAATGGATTCTTAGATATGACACCAAAACCATGAGCAACGAAATGAAAAAGTGGATCTAGTGGACTTCATCAAAGTTAAAAAAACTTTTGTGCATTAAATACATTATCAAGAAAGTAAAAGGACACAATCTACAGAATGAATATATCAGCAAATCACAGAAACATAAGGTTTCAATATCAGAAATACATAAAGGACTCTTAAAACTGAACAAAAAGACAAACAATCTGTCTGGAAAAAAAGGCACCAGGAAAACAGCTGGCAGTTCCTCAAAAAGTTAAACATATAATTACCATATGATCCAGCAATTGTACTCCTAGGTATATACCCAAAGAAATGAAAACAGAGTCTCAATTAAATACATGTGCCTACATATTCATAACACCACTACTCATAATAGGCAAAAGGTGGAAACATTCCAAATCTACTATCAATGGTTGAAAAGATGAACAAATTGTGGTGTACACACACACACACACACACACACACACACACACACACACACACACAGGCATATTATTCAGCTATAAAAGAAATGTACTGATAACATGCTACAATGTGGATTAACCCTGAAACATTACATTAAGTCAAAGAAGCCAGATGAGGAATCTAACATATTGCATGATTTTGTTAATATGAAGAATTCAGAATAGGTAAATCAATAGAAACAGAATGCAGATGAGTGGTTGCCAAGGGCTGAGGGGGGTAGGGCGGGGAGAATTGGTAGCAACTGCTTAATGGGTTCTGAGTTTTTTTCTGGGGTGATGAAAGTATTTTGGAATTACAGAGAGGTGGCGGTTGCAAAACACTGTGAATGTACTAAATGTCACTGAATTATTCACTTTAAAATGCTTAATTTTATGTTGTGTGAACTTTATTTTAATAAAAAAAAACCCTAAAAAACAAAAAACAAAACACTAAAATTATAGAATACCAATTCTTTTCAAGCACACATGGATCATACTCCAAGAGACTATATGCTGGAACATAAATAAACGAAGACAAGAGATTCCAAAACAATGAAATCTGAGAGTAGATTCTATGACTATATGAAATTAAAATAGAAATTAACAGGTATCAAGAAAGCCCTCAAATATCTGGAAATTAAACAACACACTTCCAAATAAATTATGGGTTAAAAAGTCACTTGCAAAAAAGAGAAAATGTTTTGAACTAAATGATAGCAAAACACAACATATTTGAATTTGGGGATTGCAGCTAAATGGTGCTTAGATAGAAATTTATACCATTAAAAAACTTATACTGAAAAAATAAATAATCTAAAATCAATGATCTATGCTTCTACCTTAAGAAACCAGAAACAAAGGACAATGTTATACCCAAAATAAGTAGAAGGAAATGATAAAATAGTTTAAATAGTAAGTGAATAATAAAATTAATAAAACCTTCAGCTGTTTTTTTAAGATCAATAGAATTGATAAATCTCTAGTTCAATTAGTAAAGGAAAAGAGAGAAGACTGAAATTACCAATATCAGAGAAGATAGAGGAGATACCGCTATTAACCCTAAAGATTCTGAATGTATGAAAAAGGGATACTATGAGTAACTTTATGCCAATACATTCGACAAGAGAGATGAAACTGATACAAACTACCAACTTTGATCCAAAAAGAATAAGAAATTGGAATAGTTCTATATCTACTAAGAAATTGCATTTGTAATTTTAAAATCTTCCCTGAAAAAAATCCCAAGTCCAAATGGATTCATTAGTGAAGTCTAGCAAACGTTTAAGAAGCAATAACGTCAATCTTATACAAATTCTTTTAGAAAATAAAAGGAACAATGTTCAACTTGTTTTGAGGCCAGTGCCACCGTTACTACAACCTGAAAACGACATTACAAGCAAACTGTAGACCAATATCCTTCATGAAAATCCTTAAGAAAATATTAGCAAATTGAATCTAGCAATATATAAAAAAGATACTATATCATGACTAAGTGGGATATGTTCCAGAAATAAAAGGTTTTAGCATTTAGAAGTCAGTCAACATAATTCACTGTGTTAATAAAGGAGGGAACAGTCACCTCGACAGATGCAGAAAAAACATTTCACAAGATATAATATCCATTTAGTATTCACGATACTCTCAGTAAACTAGGAATAGAAGAAAATTTCCTCAACCTGTTAGAGGGCATGTACAAAAAAAACCCACACATAATATTACAGTAAGTGATTAAAGACTGAATTCTTTCCCCTAAGATTGGAAACAAGGAAAGAATATGTACTTTTAAAAACTTATCTTTACGTTAATACATGAATTCTGTGGGATAAGATATTTGCCAATGATACATCTGATAAGGGGTTAGTATCCAAACTATATAAAGAACTCATACAATTTCACAACTTAACTCCCCCACCCCCCAAAACAAACGATCCCATTAAAAAATGGGCAGAGGACCTGAATAAACATTTCTCCAAAGAGGACAAACAGATGGTCAACAGATATATAAAAAGATGTTCAACATCACAAATTATCAGAAACATACAAATTAAAACCACAATGAACTATCACCTCAAACTTGTCAGAATGGCTATCATTAATAAATCAATGAACAAGTGTTGGTGAGGATGTGGAGAAAAGGGAACCATTGTGCACTGTTGGTGGGATTACAAATTGGTACAGATACTATGGAAACAGTATGGAGGTTCCTCAAAAAATCAAAAATAGAAGTAGCTTATGACCCAGCAATCCCATTTCTGAGTATTTATCCGAAGAACTACAAAACACTAATTCAAAAAGATATATGTATTTCTATGTTCACTGAATCATATTTACAACAGCCAAGATACGGAAGCAACCAAAATGCCCATCAATAGATGATTAGATAAAGAGAATGGTACATTTATACAATGGAATATTACTTAGCCATAAAAACAGTGAAATCTTACCATTTGCAACAATGTAGGTGGACCTAGTGGGTATTATGCTAAGTGAAATAAGTCAGAGAAAGACAAATATCATAAATGATTTCACTTATATGTGGAATCTAAAAAACAAAACAAAACAGAAACAAACTCATAGATACAGAGAACAAACTGATAGGTGCCAGATGAAAGGGAGGTTGGGAGAGTTGGGCAAAAAAGGTGAAGGGATTAAAAAGTACAAACTGGCAGTTACAAAACAGTCATAGGGATGTAAAGTACAGCACAGGGAATATAGCTAATAATATTGTAATAACAAGATAGATGAAACTGATACAAACTACCAACTTTGATCCAAAAAGCATAAGAAATTGGAATAGTTCTATATCTATTAAGTATGGTGTATGGTGCTAGGTGGGTAATAGGCTTATCGGGGAATCACTTTGTAAGTTATATAAATGTCTAACCACAATGCTGTACACTTGAAACTAATATAATATTAAATGTCAACTGTCACTGGGAAAAAAAATGAATTCTAGGTATTTTACTTCCCCTTGTTGTGTTGAGTATATTTAACACTGGAGCCCTTAGCTATGCAATAAGGCAATAAAAAAAAATAGAATGCATATAGATGGAAAGAATAATATATACTGAAATGGTCTATTTAGGCAATCCTAAGTAGTCTATCAAAAAAGTACTAGAATAACTGAATTTTTAGAAAGTCCACAGAATACAAGATAAATAAAAATCAACTTTGTTTCTATATGTCAGCAATTAATAAATAGAAAATGATGTTTAAAAATAATCTCCATTAGAATACTTAAAAACATTAAATACTTTGGTTATATATAATATAATATATGTAATACTTGTCTAATGAAAACCGCAAAACACTGTTGAGAAAAATTAAGGAAGATCTAAGTAAATGGAGAGAGATAACATGTTCCTGCACCGGAAAATTCAATAGTGATAAAATGTTAATTCTCTCCAAACTGATCTATTTCTTCTTGAAATACATAATTTTATTTTTATTGTACATTCACTTTATTGTTTCTCTTAAGTTAATTAAAACAAACAAACAAAACCCTCTCAGAGTCAGAAGGAAACTCAAAGATCACATAGTTTAACTATCCAACTTAAGTGTCTACTTGTCATGTGGTTATCTTGCATGAACTTCAAAATCGCAAAAGAAAATGATGACAAGCTTTATTTATACTATCTCACAAATTCTTCCCATGTGAAATTAAAAATAAGCTCTCTAACATTAACCGATCTTAAATGAGAGGCTTCGATAGGGGAAAAAAGATGAAAAAGTGATGTACCTGTGGTGAGGGCTGCTGAATGTATCCCTGCTGCTGGAGCACAGACTGGCTGACATGATGACCAGAAGCAGAGTAGCCAGCAGTAGGGACTGGCTGCCCAGGTGGTAGGGGAGGGGGAGGAGGTGGCGGAGGAGGAGGGGGCGGGGGAGGAGGAGGGGGTGGTGGTGGCGGTGGTGGAGGAGCTGCTGTCATGATATAACCAGACTGCTGTGGGGACTGAAGAACAACAGTGGACTGGAACATGGTAGCATGAGGGTCAGAACCATCTGCAGATGGCTGGCGGGCAAGACTCATGTGGCTAAACTGAGATCCAAGGGTGTCCTGCTAAAAAAAGAAAAAGTCAAATCAGTAAGCCTTCCAAACACAGACCAAACTTATCTCTTATATTAATTAAAATGAAACAAATATGAAGAAAATTACTTCATATATTTTAAGATGAGTTGCAGTAGTATATACTATGGAAATCATATCTACAATGGAAATGATTTAATAAAAGAATAGCTTCAAAAAAATTAGAACTCTAAGGCAGGAAGGTAGGAAAATTACAATATTGTCATTACAAATTACTTATAAAATACATATGATGGAAATGTATAGCATGCAGAAAAGAATACAGTATAACAACATCTCACAATAATAAATGAAAAAACACTTATATAAATGAAGATTAAAGGCACATTAGGATGTGGAAGTAAAACTGAACATTTATATTGTATGATTAATTTTCTAAAAGGACTTCAAATACCAGGTAACTAGCAAGGCACAGGACTAATTACTTCTCACTTTAAATCATCGCCCCTCTTCCTAGAAGGCAAGATACATCTTTGTATCTCCTATCATACCTAACAAATATACTAGCAGAAATTAAATAAAATTAAAATCCGCCTACCCTGGTCTTTTTTTTAATTTCTCAAAAATAATTTGGCCACGAAGTCTATTCTTCCCTAGTGTTTTTCAGTCTGTTCTTTAAGTCAGATGTTAGACAAATGTAATCTAAATGACAGTTTCCTAATGCTTTTGCTACTTGGTGAGCAGGCAATGGTGCCCAGCCAATATTGGGCTATGATTTAGATGTCATCTGACAAATGTTTCCCAGACTCAACAACAGCATAAAGACCAGTTCTGACTAGTCTAGTCAGTATCACTGAAATGAAAATCACAGGGTTAAATGGCATTCCCCTGCTGCAAAGGAGCCACAGATTGGCAACAATATATACCACATTTTGCTAAGAGGAAAACTGGGAAAAAAGTTACTTAAAAAATTGTGGCCTTATTGAGTTGTCAGATCTAACTTGACATGTCTTCAATTTCAAGTGTGCTGGTTTTTGCAAAATAAATTAAGGCTATACAGAAAGGACTAAAAAAGGGGAACCTGATTTAATGATTAAAAATATATGGTTTTACTCCACCCAAATGGCTGTTCTGACATATTCTAGCGCTATTCTCCTAACTCAATGAACAGTTTCAAAATATACCTAAATATGCCTACTAGCTGTAATTACAAAATAATATGGCCAAATATTTTCAAAAGAGATGCCATAACTACGTACTACCATTAGAGTCATCTTGGCAAAAGCTATTTTCTTATTCCAGTGATCCGTTTTTCAAAACATTTTTGAGGCTTTTATGCTATTCTTTTTTATGTTGTCAACCTTCTCAATGCTGACAAAATTTCATTTTTTTTCAGACTGGAAGTGAGTTTTGAAAATCATTCAGAGCCAAGGCTGGTAAAGAACGTTGCCTTCAGCTCAAAACAAAAAGACCCTTAATAAAACAAAACGTTTCTAAAAAGTGTTGAGTGACTTTAAGAGATAGCTTGTAATTTAACAGGGAAAGCAATTTGAAAATGTGATGGCTATGTACTTTGAGAAATCACAGCATCACCGGGAAAAGTACGTAGGCTATTAGGGAGACTCATGTTAAGGGAAAGAAACTATTTCATGTTAGGCACTATGCAGGAGGTACTTTAACTTTATATCGCTGTCTCATATGCTTAGTGACTATAGAAGGTCACAGAGCACACATGGCAGTGGTGTAGCTAAGCTCTTATGAAGAAGTATAACTTGGGACATGCTTTGGATTAAAGGAGGTATCATTACTTTCTAGTCACAAATTAAGTAGCTAAAGATCTTCCTTGAAAATATACTTAGGAGGAGGTCTTATGTAGTTGTAAGCTTCAGTTCACCCTGATAACTGGTACTAAGTCAACTGGACCTACGGCACTGGGGAAAGAATAGAAAGCTTAAACCCAGATGAAAGCCGCCACTCCAGGATTGCAGAGAGCTACACTGACCTCAATGAAAAAATTAGTTAAAAGATGTTAGGACTAGAATAATCAACCTGAAGATTATTTCATCATGAAAAGGAAGGAAAAAATTAGGGTTTATACAATCACTGTAATAAGCTAGTATAATAAATATTTTATGAAAGAGAATTTATTTCTAATACAGGTTAGAAATATTTTTTCAGTATATATTCTTGACTTAAAAAAAATCAAAAAAGATCATATCACATTAATCACATTCACAAGCCTTTATCACACATCCACCCACAGAAACAATGCAGGAGGTGAATAGAGATATAGTACCACGGAGTATTGCTGGGTGGGTGAGACTGGCAGGAGCGGGGATGGGTAAGGGGCTGTAGAGTACTGAACAGGCTGTGAAGAGGACTGCAGAGGACGAACAGGCTAAGGAATAACAGGTTGGCAAACAATGTTAATGTCAGAATAAAATGTTAGAAGAACTGCATAAAATGGAAAGTTACATTTTTGACAATAGCTTAAACTACATTTATAAAGTAATCTTAAACACAACAACATAGGAAACAACAAAAACAAAACTCAATGAAAATTTCTGAGAATATATCTATGCTTAAATTTAATACATAATTAGAATTTTTTTCATAAAAAGATTAGATTCACTGAAACAAGTAATTTAGATGGTTCAAATCCTATTATCTAACCGAGACCCCTGGTTTAAGTTGGCAAAAGCAAAACCAATTAAATTATCCTTACTTTCTGGTTTGATGAAGGGGCAGCTCTATTTAGTTATATAACACTAAATAATAAAAGAAACACTTCACTTATTATCAGACAGCAATAACTTACATAGCATCTTTGCCAACTGCTCTATTTGATAATGAACGATGAGATATTAAATTTTGGTACCAAAATGCATAACTTTTAGCAATTTTTAAAGAAAAATGTACTGTGGGTACCATAAAGAATAAGAGCCTAAAGAAGAACACAAACTTACATAGAGGTGCGCATGCGTGCACCTGCAGACCTCCCAACAAATCCATCTCTTTTATGTAGGAAAGATAAACATTTTCTTTTCCATCTAAAATTTTTTATTAAGAGAGTATATATTAGGAGCTGCAAAACTAGTTACTTAAATTTTTTTTTACTAATGGAATAATCCTGCATTTCAGGAAAATAAAGGTTTTATGTTTTCCTGGGGGCACTGAAAAAAATAGGTGTTCTGAACATGAAAAATGTTTTAATTATTTCTAAATCTTATAAAATATAGCTGACCGTCCATAGGTTGACATTGGCATATGATTTAGTTTCCTAATCTTATATTTATACAGTTTATTACAAAAGGGGTAATATACATTTGGCTTAAAGACTATTATAATCCATTTTATTGATGGCAATCAGGCTAAGGTAAGGTAAGTGGTCTGTGGAGAGCCATGTTAGCAAGCATTGGAGGAATCCAGGTAATTTTATCTAATAAAAACTCTTAGTTTTGATATATATGTATACATGAATCTCCCTCTGGACAGTATTTCCAGAGAGAATATTTTAAAATTTCAAAATAAACTACCTGATTAAGATTGCCCAGAGAATAATCTAAATAAGGAAAATTCTTATGACAACTAAGACATATGACAATGAGTTGCATTTATACCACAAGATCAACACAACAGTTTCTAAAATTATGAAAGGCTTAGTTTAGAATCCCACAAAAAAATCTAGAATTAAAGCAAAAGTACTTAAAAAGTAAAATCTGAAAGATCTGTAGAGTAGCCACTGGTTTTTCACTAACCTCTCAACTCAGTAAGCTTCCTAATGGATGACAGCACATATCACACTTACTGAGGCTTTAGAACTTCCAAGTATAGGCTATTCGATGTGTTATTAAGTCAGACAACCATTAAGATGTAATTTTCTTCTAGACAACTTGACCTACTATGTGTCATATGAAACAAAAGCTTTAGTCTGCTGGGGCATAAAATAAAGAGTACTATGAGTACCAAGAGTATGAATTAATGTCTCTGACAGGGTGTCAAGTGATAATGAGAAAAATGTGGGCTAGAAGACTGGCTGATCAAAGTGAAATTCTGACACCACTTAGAAAAGAAAAAGCCTCAGCACTTCCTTTTCCTACATTAATTGCAACTGGCTGCAAAACAACACCCACTTAAAGTGATTGGTTTTAAGAAATGTAGCCCATCTGCATGCTTTGGAAATCACAGCATTATTTTGTTTGGTTGTTTGAAATTTCATGGATGGATTATCTCAGTGTGCAAAAGATAGTTACTGAGTATCATTTGTTCATCAATTCTCTATTTTTGTAGCTGCTGATGAATTACTAGAAATGCCTGAAGCAATGGCAGGAAAATCAGTCGTGGAGTTTCATGCATATCCCAAGATTTCAAATTATAGTCCATTAAGGCATTTTTTCCTAAGCTTCCTACACTTTCATTTAGGATTATCTCATAACCAAATCAAAGTTATTTCTAAGAGATTATAATGTGAAATATATAACCACAGATAAATCCTTAAAATTTTTGAAGCTGCCAGACTAACATTATTTTCACTGAATGAAATGAAATGAAATCAGTCCTGTAAAGCTCCTAGTGAAATAGACAGTGCTGCAGAAGCCACCACATGATAGCAAAATGAAAGAAAAACACTTCAGGACCAAGTTGAATGAAGCCAAGGCACAGAAGAACAGGGAAGGAGTTTTATGTAGCCTAACAGGTACCTGAGTGTATGTAATCAAATGCGGTTGGGAAGTGGATATGACAGCCTTTGGAAATAGCATTTGATAACTTTATTAAACTGCTCATGTATTCTTTACCCCTGCAATACCAATGATATAACCTGAGCAAATATTTCAAAAATGAAATTTCTCCAGTTCAAGTTTGTCACCATACTTCTTTCACAAGAATTTACTTTGCATGTTTTCACCAGTGTATTATTCAGATGGTCTTACAGGAAAAAAGAAGTGTAACTAACTGTACAAACTGTCTTTGATGTGTTACACAACCTTCAAAAGACAGACTGAAATAAAAGTTCACACTGGTATAATCATGTTCTTCAAGAATGAATAGCACATCTACAGGGAAAAAGCTTGAATGTGAAAATGCATGTGTAAACTCTAAGTGTTTAAACAAATTCAAGATATTGTTAAAAGTGCTTTTAGGAATTTTAACTCGGGATGTTTTTGCCTCCTATCTCTCACAGGGTAGGTGGGATGGAGAGTACACTGTAGAACTTGAGCAACTCAACTCATTTTCTTCAAACTGCTTACTCTGTTGAATCTTAAAAAAAACTCACTTTGCTCACTGGGATAACCAACAACCTTAGTTTTGTTTTTATTCTGGAATCTTGTGCATTTCTTGCTGTTTTGAAATAGGATAAAATACCACACAGGCTCATGAGATACAAAATTCCCTCCTTTTCGAAAATATTCTGCATTTATTAGCTGAAAAGCCCTTGAAGTTAACCTCTCTTCCTACCAGCAGTGTGTGGAACATCACTGGTGGAGAATATTAAAACTCTAAAAGATACTTAAGTGGGCTATCTCAATTACAATTAGTGAATTTAGTCCCAAATATACAAAGGCAGGTGAACTTATTAGTATTACATAATCGTGGGTATGTGCACCTGTGAGAAAATGTGATTAGCTGCTTGCTGAGGTGGTGGGGGTGGCAGAGGTGGCTGTGGAGGTCCAGGCACTTGGGTTCTAACTGATTGTTGAGTCATAGGGGGGTTATACACAACTGGACTCCCATCTGGGTTTATGAAGGGCTGACCTGAAAAATTAAAAAAGGAGAAAAAAAATCATTTACAATAGAATTTGAATGTAGGTCATTCTAATAATTTACAATACATGTCTAAATCCTCATTCACAATTTTGAAGCCTCAAGTTTCTGAAAGCTAAAAGATTTTCTTAGCTTGGGAAGCATAGTCTGACCTTATATGAGGGTATTAATTGTTTTTATTTTTCCCACTTGAAGAACATTCAGAAATTCTGCTGCAATGTTTTACTATGAGGGTGCTAAATCTACTAAAGTTATTTTATAATACATAGTATTTTCTGAAAACTTCTGAATTCTGAAATACATCTTGCTCAAGAGTTCAGTTACAGGATTATGGTGCTTTAGTACTATAATACATTTCCGTTTTAAGAAAAAAAATGCTTGACTTGGGGATACTGGAAAATTATTAATTAGCCTCTATTAGGTGGTGAAAAATAGCTAATTTATAGGCCACACTGCATATATTTAACTAATAAAATTAAAACTGAATGAAAATTAAAATGGTTAACAGCTTCAAATTTCAAATTGTGGGCTTGATGGCAGTGTCCTTATTTTATAGCTTCTAACTTATTAAAAGCTGTAAATGATTTTCAAATGCTAAATCATTTTCTAAAGAAATCTTTTTAATTCCAGTGAGGTTTATTCACAGGTAAGAGAGAAAACTTTAATATTTATTTTGAGGCTTATTTTTATTGCTTACTAATTATTGGGGAGATATTTTAAGTACTGAGTAGAATAAATTTTACTCTAGATAACTTTTTATTATAATAAAAAATAATAGTTTTATTGTGGTAAAATAACCAACAAATAGAGATCAAAAGAAAATAAATCCCCCATAATCTTATAGTTAACAATTCGGATACCTTCTTCTAGATTTTTTTTTCAATGCACATATAAACAGATTCAAAAAGCAAAGAGGTCACTTTTAAACTTATTTAAAATTAAGAATACAATTCAATTTCAGGTTGATTAGTTTCTCATTCTATCATTCTCTACTCAATTAAATCTTTCATGTTATCAAAAACATATTAATGTGTTTTGAATGAAAAATAATAGGAAATAGTGAAATATTAAATCTTATATCCTGCCTAGGAAATCAGTAAGTTTAGTAATATAATAAACCCAAAGGATATGAAGATAGCTGTTATTAAGTAAAAACTGAATTTCTGATGTCAGTTATTTATGCTAATTAAATTCTTATAATAGAGACAAATGTTTGAATACTTTATCTCAAAAAAAGAAATGCAAATAAAATCTGAAGGCAGTGAGTTCCAAGCCATGGTTTTCTCTACAACAAACAAAGCGAACATTCAGAGACTGTAACACTTGCACCTGTATCCATCTTGCCCAACTATTATGAGGCTGATTTGACTATATCAACGAAGTCAGTGAATTTTTAAGGAAGGTTATCAGATGATTTAAAGTTGTTTACGTTACCTTACCAAATGATTGGGTTATGTTATTTTGAATGGAGACCAACACTTCTTGTGATGTTTAAAAGATCATATTTTCTCTATATGTCATTTTTGCCAAATGTACATAATGTATTATGATTTCATCTCTTTAGGACTGCTTCCTTAACTATAAATGGGGATTTAGCCTACCTAACAGTGTTGTTACGAAAATTATAATGTATTTAAAGCACCTAATACAGTATATAACACATAGTAACTGCTCAATATATGCAAATTATCTAATTGCAAAGAATATGTGTCAATATTAATTCAAAATGACTATCTATTTTCTTTTATTAATAAGATGTCCTTTAGCTTTTCCTCTGTAGAAAATAATTTCCATATTCAGAAGGACAATTACTTATAGGTTCTTTCCAGAGCTGTTAGATTTTTCCTTCTTTATGAAATAAATACTATGCTCCCCAGAATAAAGTTTTTATCAAATAAAGTTCTTTCAAAGGTGGTTGTCTAATTTCTGGGAAAAAAAAATTGTTTTTAAGTAGTTAGGCCATTATTTGGCATAAAAGATGAAGTCGCAAAGAGAAAAATACTTTCTGATGTCTTTTAACACTTGCTAGCCATGAGTGTTTTATTAAAGTTCTAGAGAAAATATTAGTTATGCATGAAAAATAAAGAGCTGATAACACGTATACAGATAAAACATTGAATACATATTCTTGAATTTTCAAACAACTCCTGATATCTCAACTAAAATAAACACCTTTTTTGGGATACCAACCTGTTTGTGGGTTGATCAGAATACTGCCAGGTGGTATGCCTGCCGCTTCCAAGGGAAGCAAAAAGAAGCTAGTACTAGGAGATGCGGCTTGCCCATTTAGGCCACCATCAAAGGAAAGAGAACTATGAGTGCTGACAGTTGGATAGACGACAGGTGCGCCATGAGAAGACTGGCTGAGAGCTGTACCTGGAAGAGGCTGCTGGATGTGAGAAAGAGAGCCCGTAGATGACCCTACACTACCAGAAGACTCAGAACCTAGGGGAGGAGTAATGAAAAATATGGATTTTTTAAACCTCATATAAAAACGCAGGTTTTAAACACATAACAATAAAATTCACATTGCATACCATGCAGTTACCACATAAAAGCATCAGCTATTTTTGATCTATTGTACAATTTTGCTTTCCCTCCCCATAATGAACAGGTTTAATACAGCAAACTGATCACATAAGTTGTCAGAGAAGTCATAGCTAAAGCATGCAACTTAAGCACATTTATAATAACACCAGCCACAGACAGTCACAAAAAGTACATTATCCACATTCCCAAAAGGACAAAGTTATATAAATTTTACCTTTTAGATTAACACCTAGGAATATACAGATTATAATTTTTCCCCAGGAAAAAGACTTTAGCACAGCCAAATGCCCCAAACCTCTTAAATCAGAAACCCCTTATCTATAAGAACACAGAAAGATTAAGAGTAGTATAGGAAATGACAAAAATGATAAATTCTCTATCCAGAGAAACAACTGTCAAGTTTCACTGCAGAATTTCATTTTCAGCTCATAATCATAGCATCTTCCTATAATGTAGTCACCTTTCAATTTTTTATCATATCAAGGGACAAAGATAGCATGAAAAATATCCAAGTACTTATATGAGCAACAGCTTCAAATTTCTCATTGCCCTTAATAAATTAATTTGATAATTTTAACTGCTCTTATGCCTACAATTGATTTCATTTTCTATTAATATAGTCTGAAAATGTCATGAACTTTAAGTATAATGGCTAAAGGTGAATAATGAGAAAATGAAAGAAAAATTTTGATAATGTAAACAGTTAATTATATTTAAAAAAACAGCACTGACTCTGGGAGAATTAATCTTTAAAGAAATAAACAAATAGGATATGCTAAACAGATTTCCTCTGAAGAATAACTTCTAAGTTGTGCCAAAATGACTACTGACAAGAATTATAATGTCATTTTTCCTACTGAGTTAGATAATATTTATTTTTATCTCTGAAGATAATACAGATAACGAAGAGTATATGTTCTTAAATGTTCTAATTTGGCAGTGTGTCTAAATGACTTTCTCATGATACATCAGTAGCTTTTTTCTGTTCTAATGACTAATTGACAATTTAAAAAATAAATGCATATTTGGTACATATACATATCGTATTCATAAAATGTACCTGTCTTTAGTAATATTCTATCATATACATTAGGACATTTTTAATATCCACAAAGTTAAAAAAGTGACAAGTACAATTCACAAGCCTTAATATTTAAAGCATTGAGTATAATCAAGGATTAAAAAATACTCTGTCACCTTCAAATATACATCTCTCCCTTCAATTGCTATCTGTACAACACCAAATGTCTAGGTTAATCCAAACAGGCTAAACAGAGGGAGCCATTTCTGCTGACTTTACTGCTTCTTTGGGATAAAAATAAGGATCTACAAAGACCCTAAAAGAAACGTGAGCTTCTTTAATATTGAAGCCAGTTGGTGAAAATGAAAAGGGGAAAATGTTATAAGCCTAAATGTTACATACTGTAAATGCAAAGAAGCTAAGAGAATGAGGATGTTATTGCAATTTCCACTCATTCATAACAATTACGACATACTATTTTTCTTTAGTTTTTAAATTACTCAAATATTCTCAGCAATTTTATGCATTTTGAATGGCAAATGAAGAACTTTATCATGAAAAATATAATTATAATTGACAGTATAAGCTGAAAATGCAATCACTGTTAAATAATCCTAGGTGAGAAGCCATGCCTTCCAACCATAAATAAGCAGTGAAGAATTTCCAACCACCTCTGGGCACTCAAACAAGAGATGACACTTCATTGAACCAACAGCCTGATTAAGTTAATGTCAAACTAAAGAATTCTTATTTTAATTGATGTTCGGAAATCTCTCTTGCACAGAGAACGAATCGTAATGTCAATAAACATACTACCGCTTAAGTACTTTGGAGGTGCTCCATGCTCTGCTGGTAGGAATTTTATATTTTAGGGTAATTACAAAAGCCATATGATAAATAAAGAGCTAAGACGTTAGGGAAACTAATGTTTTGACTGTACAGTTCTAGATAGATATTTATACCTGTTTTTGAAAGCCTGCCTATGCTTTTGCTGCTTCCAGAACTATCACCTCTTGTCAAGACTGAAATTCCACTGAAGCTGCTGGCTTTGGTTACAGCAGGCTTGAAGTTTCGGAGAGAGCTGTCGGAATCTGTGCTGCTCCAGGGTCGCGGTTCAGAATACTTCAGCTCATTCTCAGTGCTGCTTTGATGGCTATTTGTTGATCTCCCTGAAGCATCTTTATTAACTCTGTAATTTAGAAATAAATCTTTGAAAAGCTAATAGAGATAAAAATGAAAAGAATAAAGAAAAATGCTTTAAGTTTTCAATACTGCATGGAAACATGCTTCCAATACCTAAATATCTGGCGCCTCTGCTGGGTACTACTAGCATCCTCATCTTGGATTCTGTTGGCATTTTAATAACATTTTAATTTTTATTAGGATCAGTTAGACAGTTACTAAAAGAAATGTTAAAAATCCCCTCACCTTTTGTCAATAATATAATTCTCTTGGGAACACAGGGACTGAAAGAAAGATATAAAATGTTAAGCTTTTGTGAAACACATAATGCTATCTGTTAACCAATGATGACAACAAAAATCATGTGTAATATTATTTAAAAAGTATCCCTCCAAAAAATAAATCCGACGTGGTGACAAAAGTACACAAATAAATGATAATGGAGGTTTTTTTTTTGTGTGGCTTGGAGATACCATGCTTACTTTTAACAGATATATGTCTTGAAGCCATTCATTTTTGTGGTACAAATTAATTTAAAATTAAAATATTCTCTTGCAAACAAGTGGACACACTTTTATTACTATACATTCAAGATATATACCAGTCTATAGATTCCGTCTCATTCCTTCGATAAATATTTTGATCATCTGTGCTTTGGCTGTGAATGTAGCAGTGAACTAGCAGCTACGCCTCAACACAGCTTATGCCAACTCCTCTAATGCTCAGGCAATCATCAATTTTGCCTTTTTTATGACAACAGTCTTCTAACTAGTTTTCCAGCCACCAAGGTCACCAAACTATGGCCAGCCATCTGTTTTTGCAAGTAAAGTTTTATTGGAACACAGTCATGCTCATTCATTTATTTATTATCTGTGGCTGCTTTCACATGAAAAAGGCAGCTCTGAGGTGTTGCAAAAAAGACTGTATTGCTCGAAGTCTAAAATAATTATCATTTGGCCCTTTTCAGAAAAAGTTTGCTGAGATCTGCTTTAGCTAAAAGCGAACCTACCTTAATTGGCTTTTGGAGTCAAACTTTCCTTATTTCTTGTGTCATGTAGGCTATAATCTAGCTACTATGAATCTTTCAATTACTCATATGTCGAGTTCCCCTTTATCTCTGGGCTTCTGTAAATACTGACTCTCTACTTGGAACACTTTACTCCTTTAGGTCTTCTCTTGGACGCTAAGAGAAGCTATTGTCTCATTCCACAATTCTGGAATGAGATCTGTGGTGCTTCTCTGCTGTGTCCCTATTTTACCTTCAGGTCTCTACACAACTCACAAGTGATATCATCATCTGGCTACTCATCAAGGATAGAGACCTCATCTACCTTATAAACTAGAGAGAGAAATAAATCTAGTTTAGGCTCTGAGCTCAGAAAACTTGGGTTGAAATCCCTACTCTGTCATTTTCTAGCTGTGTATGGTCTTGGGCTATTTTACTTAGCCTACTGGAGCTTAGATTCGTTATCTATAAAATAAAAACAATGACAAAATCTACCATATAATCATTGTTTGGGGGATAAATTATTATAACTGTCCATGGATAAGTTCTCCAATGCCCAGCATAACACCTATTATAGGTGCTCAAAAGACATGTATGAATGAATATTTTAGATTCTTAACTGATAGTCTAGATTTTAATGTTTTTTTTTTTTTAACACAGGAAATTTCTATCTCTGACAGTATTAACACAAACATATATTCAGATATCCTTGAATAATAACCTAGTACTATACAAAACAGGTGCTTAACAAATATTGATAAAAACAAACTGATTCTATTCTCAAATATATGCATAAAATAATTAGCCACTTAAAAGTTCTCTTTCATATAATCACTTATAAGTGGAAAACAAAGGTTAATCTAAAAAAATTAGCTTTATTTTAAAAAAAGGAACAAGTTATTTATCAAGAGAAGCCCACTAACAAGTTGGATTTAGAGTATACATGACTTTGTAGATAGTGACCAATGTTCTAAATATCTCAAGTCTGTGAGAAATCTGGAAGAAAAAAATATTATAAAAACTATATATTCATTCCAATATACTGCTGTAGTCTCTAACTTTCAAAAAGTTTATATAACTGCGGCAATATAGTATTTTATATACTATTAAATTATTACATGAGCAAGACATCTCAAATTTCTAAAAGGTGACTTTATATGTAACAAACGCGGTTTAAAAAATGTGATCAATAGATTAAGGAGGAGTAAGTCCCTCTAATGCAATTAGTGTATATTCTAACATGAAGAGCTAAAATTAATAATACATACATCTTGGGAAAATATACGGTCTCTAGCTCTCTGGTACTCTTCTTCTCTTTCTTCTATAGATTTGCTTCTTCTGTCATCTTTCAAACGTATTCTCATCTAAATAAAAGAGAACAATTAATTCTTGGGAAAATGACCTGCTGGTTTAAGTCCTGCACGTTTAAAAATTTCCAATTGTGCTATGTTACCTGGTTATCATCTTTGTCAAAGCTAGAGTTATCTCTCTTGAGGATATATCGTTTCTGAAAGTCTTCACCTTTATCATCCTTAATATGTTCATTAAATTTCTGATCAGGTCTAAAAAAAAAAACCAAGGGAACAAAAACGATAATATACAATATTTATAAAAAAGTTAAATATAACACTTTATGAAAAATAATAAGTTACTATTCACTAGTGCCATTAATAGATATTTATGTTATCTCATTTACTCCTTACAATAATCTTATAACAAATATTAACTACTCCTTGTTATGTGTAAAAGGCCATATGAAATACAGTGTGGGCTCTGGAATCTGACATCTTGGGTTCAAATATTCAGTTTTACCAATTTAGTTGCTTTATGACTTGTACAAGTTACTTAACTTTTATATTCCTTAGTTTCTTCATTTGTAAATGGAAATTATAGTATATCTATGTCATAGTGTTGTTCCGAAGATGAATTAATAAACAGCACTTAAAACAGTAAACAGCGGAAGTTTGTTATTATAAAAATTACTGAGAAAACAGGTTCAAATGGTTTAAGCAACTGTCTAAGGTCAAAGAGTGAGTACATGACTGAGACATAAGTTGGAGCCCTTGTATGTAAGACTTAAAGCCTATATGTCCTCTGCTTTGCCTCCTCTACATCTATGAAAAAATTCTGGGGCAAATAAAAAAGTACAGCACAGCATCACATGTTACACTCCTATAATACCTGGTTTGGTGTAATATAATTGAGAGTATTCAAATGTTTTGTGGTTGAATGAGCTACAACTTAAGAGACTACTTCAAAATGCAACCAAGTTACTAAGAATTCTTAATTACAGCAGGGTACATCTTTGTTTTATGCTAATTGAAAACAGTTACAAAAGAGAAGTTTTTTTTTAAGAGTTTAACATTGTAACCTAAAGTAATGATTATAAAATCTTAATATATTTTATGGATGATTGGTCTTTCCTCTATGGAAATGTTGTGAGCTCTACTGAGATCCAGAAGACAGTCATATGTTTGTGGCTTTTGAAAAATTATAATTCTGTAAAATTTTACTTTCTCAAATATATTCTCAGCTTCAACAAATTAATTCACTCAATACTCTTGTGACTTAAAATCCTCTCATGAAATTGGAATTACTTTTATGAAATATACAAAAATATATCTGGAGGTTATAAAGTCTAACTGAACCCCCAAGTAGTATCTTACACATAGTTTAAAATATATTATATAGTCACGTAATATATTATGAATATTATAAGTAAATTTCTACACCAAATAAACCTCAATAATGACACTTTCTGCATACCGACGAGACATTTCAATATATACAGTACTCAAGTAACACTTCCAAATATTTGTTTTAACTTAGTAATTTTTTTAATGAAGTACTGTATCTACTTCCTGTCAAATGATGCACAAGAAGATTTATAAATGAGTTATCTAAGCTGAAGAAATCTCTTTTAAAACATACTTAGATAAGTGAAACAGAGAGATCTCCACATAAAAATAAAGAGTAAAAACAGTTTCATGACCAAACTGATGAGAAAAAGATTGCTTTTTTTAGGAGTCTGAAAGATATCTATTTAGTTCTGATGATGGCAGTATGTTATTTTTGTCACATTTTTGCTCTGATTACTTATATCGACTATTTTTGTAGCTATTCAAAGTCACACTTTCTTATTCGAGTTTTTACTTGGGTGAGAGACTGTTATTCCAAACTGAACTTTAAGGTTTAACCAAGGGCCTGGCAACTTTTCTAAGAGCAGCTGGATTCCCACATCAAATAGCATTGGCAGGCATTTCAGCTAACCTTAAGACTGTCTTACCTCTTTCTCTTATAGATGCCTCAATTTACTGCCCTGCAATCGCCAACTTCCCGCTCCATTGAGACACCCCAGTGGACACTGGGTTGTTGACATCCATAACACCACTGGTTCAAGGCTGGAGCGGGTAATCTGCCTATGAGGAAAAGGTAAGTTTGTTTTTATTCAATGTGGAGCAGATCTCTAAGGTTTTCTGATTTATAACCTTCTGCATATTCCAGAAGATATAAAATAAGAATACAGTGTAACTTCAATGATCTGAAATGTCTAGTTATAATTATGCTACTGGTCCATTCCTCTTTAAGTATGCCATAAACACCTGTGTTTGGCTAAAATTTTGACTACCCTGATAAAGAGAACCCTAAAGCTTTCTGACATCATTCAAAGCATTCAAATAACTGAGGTTACACTGTATTGAAAACCTTAGAGAGTCACCAGTCGAAATGTTAGTCAAAATGCCTGCTAATGTGCATGTGCGTGGGTATCCAGCAGCTCTGAGTAATGCTGAAAGGTACTGGTTAAATGAATTAGAGTTCTATTCACCCTCAGTCCAGCTCATATGTTATAGTCACTATTCTACTTTAGCCATGATATAAATAATTGATGAAGAATTTTAAAAAGACTAAGGGATGGGCAGAGGAAAATTAAATCTGATTCATATTTACAGGTAAAATTTAACCCCTAAAGAAAGACAAGATCCTTTTCAAAGATATCTAAATTTAATTTTAGTTTAGGAATAATCATTTAAAAATACTTGGTTCCAACAATATATTTAGTTGACAACATACTATTTGAAATGGAAGAAAACCAACTTAATTCCAGCAAACTAAATGGTAGCTATAAGGATAAAAGGCCATTACAATAGAAGGAACATAAGTGAATTAAATATGACCATGCAAACTGCATAGTTCATAGATAACACACTGAGAGGAGTCTAGCTTCAAGAAAGGCAGAAAATAATGAACTAAAAAGCATTATTTATGGCATGTGAAGTTGACTGCTGCTCATTACCACAGATTCATTGCTGCTACATAGAAATTGATATAGAAAATTCTTCTGACAGGCAGATCACCAACCAACAAAGTATACATTTTAGTTGAACTCAATTGGGTGCTTTAGGATTAGCTTTATAAATAGGCAGAAGAGGTGCTGTGTACATGTTACAATTTTAGGTGCTTCTGCATTGGGCTTTTTGCTCCCAAATGCCAGCACTGATTATTTCACCAACACTTAGCTATCATTTTTTAAAGCAAATGGCTCCTCTTAAGTCCTTAAAAAATTGTCCTCAGCAAATTATATATGACCCAGAAAGTGGATACAACATTATGGTTAATACTGTATTAACCAACAGACCCACCTTCTTGAAATTTGTGGGAAAGAAGGAGCAAAAACAGAAGTGGAAAAAGTATGGTAAACTCATACAAGATGCAATGTGAGGGTGCCAAAAATTTTTTTTGTTTTCTTAAAATCTGCCTGAGATTGACCATAGCTATTTAAATTACATTAATTTAAAAAATCCATGAGAATGGTTATCAAATATCACTGACATTATGACCTCAGAGAGTTTTTGCTTTTGTTTCTTTTAAACCAGTCCTCATTTACCTGCCTCATTTCAGATCAGACTGATGCATTTTGAATCTAGTGAGATAAACATATTTTTTGATCCGATCATATATGGTTATCACGAAGCTTAACTAGGCTGTGAAAACATGTGGAAAACCTCAGATGAAAGGTACCGTAGAAAGACAAAGTATTGTTATACACATATGTAACATATACCCACATTTCTTGATACTTACATTCTTGTATTACTAGTTTTGTTTACTATGACAGACTTCCCACTCTGATCAACATTGTGGTCTAATCCAAAGTAAGCGGCTACTCTGTGCAATAGCATCCTGTGGTAAGATGTCATTGGGGGGAATTTTTTACGTGGAGACCTAGAAGTAGAAGAAAAACTAATTAGGTAAACCAAGGAGAACTGTAGTGACAATTACTTTTCTTGTTAAATATCAGGACTTACTCATTATTACCAATGAAATCTAAAATTTCTTGTTCCAATTTCAACAGCATCATTCTGTCCCTGAAACAAAATATGAAGACCCTTATATGTAAAACTTAATACTGAAATCGTAAATGTTGAATTTATATTGCTATATATATTTTCTTAAAAATTGAACATTGAGGACTATCACAAGCTTGATGCTAGAATATTTATATACTTTCTGAAAAAGTAATGTTTTAAAAGAATGAAAGATGATATTTTTTAGTTTAGTTTTTTATTATGGAAAATTTCACACATACACAAATGTACAGAGAATAGTGTCAGGAACCTCAATATAGCCATTACCCAACTTCAACAATTATCAACATGTGGCCATTCATACAGGAGATGTATTTTGATCTACTAAGTATCTCTATATTGGAGTCTGTTCTGTAAACCTATAGATAAAAAGAGCATATCAGTCTTTGCTTTCTTACTCTAAAGCTGAGAGGTAGCAGGAAAATAGACATCTTTGGTTAGGCTCATAACTTTGTTGTCGCGTTGAGCTCCATAGAAACAGCACTCTAAAGAACATGCAATGCCAGTAACAACAGGAATGCTCCTATATGAGAATTCATTGCTAGCATACAGGTGGAACTATAGTAGAAAAGTATGAACTACATTACCAACTCTAACTCAAAGAGACTTTTCAAATCATTCTGTAAATTGCTACATTTTTAAAACTCTAGGAATTTTCCCCATAAAAATTAAAACGAACCAAAGGCCTCCAACATGTAAAATAAAGACTTTAAGGAATACCCGTATGTGCTCCTTTAGATCATGAGGGTCCTATTTAGTGCACTTAGACTGCAACAAATTAATAGTACTCCTCCCGAAAGGACCTCCTTGCTCACACACCAAGAACTTGGCTCAAAAGAATATGCCTATGCTTACTGAAAATTTCATGTGCAGGTGGGGAAAAGCAAACAGCTCAGAATCTTAAACCTTAAAGGTTTGTTTGTTTTACAGATCATTCATTCTGTTTCTGATACTTTACAGGTCAAGAAAACTAGACCAAGAGGTTAATGTTTCCCTCCCAAATAAACATCAGATAGAAGATCACTTTTAAATTCTAACAGAAGAGGTGATGCTCCCTACTTAAGTTGCCTGAAAGTATGTATGTACATCACCCTGAGTTTGATTCTTTCTCTACATTACAAAACTCTCATAAAACTGAGTAATATTTGACTATACATTTAAAAATATTAGTTGAAAAATCAAGAGAAAAACATGCCAACCTGGTGATTTCAAATCTAAAGTTGAAAACAGGAATACATTTTAACACAAATACTAGCAACATTCAATTTTGCTTCCAAATCTGGTTCTCATTTAGTATTCTCCATCTTAGTAAGTGGTACCACCTTTCATCTAGAATGTTGTACCAGAGGTATTTTTGGCCTGCTATAATCTTTTTTCTAATCATCCTAATCACTTAATTACTACTGCAGATTTTCTTTACCTTCTATCTTTCTTCTGTTTCCATCGGATCCAAGCAATCGGGATCTCTTACTTAACTACTATGACATAATAGTAGTTAATCTCTCTGTATCTTCTCTTGTTCCCTCCACATCTATTCTACCTAGAGCACCATAATGATTTTAAAAACACACATGTGAACACACACCATTGCCTTGGTTAAATATTTATGGCAGGTTTCACACTGCTCTGAGGTTAGAATTGAACATCTGTAACGTGGCCTACAAGGCAGGCATAATCTGGTCTTTATCTACCTCTTTAGCCTTATCTCCTGCTCCTTACTCACAAAACTCTTTATCATCTTGGCTTACCTCTGCACTTGCAAAGCTCCTTCCTTTCTCAGCTTCCCCAAACATGCTATTTCCTTTGCCTAGAACAACTTCTTATATAGTTTCTTAAACCTTGTTTCTTTCATACTTTTCTTATATAGCATTTATCACAATTATTATTATATAGTAATCTGGACTATTTAGAAGAGTTCAACAAATGTATCTGTATGAAACAAATTAATGAAATTATTTCATCCAGAAGGTCTTTTAATATTTTTTCCTTAATATTTGGGGAGAGGGTAAGGAATTTCTACTTTATAGGTGTTTCCCCCAAAAAGGACTTACTTAACTACAAGACTCTCTTTTCATCTAACTTTTAGGGATCAATTTGTCTTGAGATATAATTTTCAGTAACTTTCATGATATATTTTTTATACACTTATTGTAGGAAAAAAAAGAAAGGAATCTGAGAAAGGCAACTTATTCGGCATTCATGAAACAGTGCATTTAAATAAGTTTTCTGTGTCTGAGCTAAACAGCTGGAGTAAGATATGTGAAATGTTCTTCAGTGAATGTACTGTCATTGAAAAGAAATTTCTGTTGTCTCCAGGAAAGAAAACAAAATCTAATACTTTTACTAGTTATTGATACAAGTTTAGGCTTTCTCTCTCCTCTTCCACATGCAGATCCAGATCTATGGATTGCAGGGGATTTTCTGTTATTATATAGACCACTTACTATTTAAACTAAGTTCCCCTGCTCAGTTTACTAAACTTCTAGTCACTAAAAAGTAGAGCTTATTAGAAAAATAAGGCTGATAACTTTCTTAAGTTCTCAAGATTTATAGTTCTTGCCTTTGAACCAGTATAGCTCAGTTCCCAAATTTTCAAATCTGGAACTAAGGTTAGATATTTTGGTAATGGTCATAAGCTAAAAAGGAATAATCCCTTATAGAATATATATAGGACTTGAACAGATTACTCTCTTAAATTACTCTCAAAGCATAAGGTTTAGCACATGAACCTAAAAGTAGGCACACTTACTGTAATTGTTATTGAATGAGTTTTAAAAGGAACCAATATAAACCACTAACCACTAATCACTAATGTCTAATCACTAGGTTGTACACCTGAGACTGATATATTTTATGTCAACTGTAATTAAAAAAACTTAAAAAAAAAAAAAGGAATCAATGTATGGTGTCTATTATTAAAGAAATAATAAAAACAAAGATCTCAATCAAACTGATCAATAACCTATTACCTAAAGTTAAAATGAAGGGGCAACATTGTTTTAGTTAATAGTGTTCTAGTCAATACACCAGAACTAACTTTAGAGGGTATGTATACCCATGGCAAACAAAAAAGAAGAAAACAATAATGTTTCCATCTGAAGACCCTCTTCCCAATGTTCCATATGACCTTAGTCAATATCTGCAACAGATAAAAAATGACTTAAAACATTACTTCCAATAAAAGTTTTATAAAACATTTCAAACACAGAACAAAACAAATTACTTTTCAAACATACATTCTCAGGATTAATCCATGGGGTTGCTCCCTTTCAATAGTCATCTAATAGTTACCTTTATTATCTATATTTCTTTAATATGCATGTAATTTATAAAAAACGGGTATGAAATCAACACGAATATAGGCATAAAACCATGTCAGTAAGTGTAATCTCTATTGAGGTCAACTTCTGATTCCTAGGTTCTAATTCAGTAATGATCAATTAGTGTAGCCTCTAAAAATATGTCTTGCAAACAGGAACTAGAGATAGATTATTATCTAACATCTAAAGTTAAGTTTATTTATTGGGTTGAGAATAAGATAAAGACTTAATGATATGAAGAAAAGTTTTGAAAAGGATTCTCTGAGCAATATTCAATCTTGAAAGCTTTAGTGGAAATCCACCAGTTATTACTAATTTTGCACCATGTTTATCTGGCAATTAATTGCGTATTTCACAGAGAGAACACTGAGCCATAAATTAAGCAAATCTTGTTTCCCACAAAGTTTAACGATAGCTACAACTTCCTAATCCACACTGACATTAGTAATAACTCATACATTAGCCATGTTGTGAATTATATACCTATATATTTATTCAAATAAAAAGTCATACACATAAGGAATAAAGTACTGATACATGCTACAACATGGATGAACCTTAAATATATTATGCTAAGTGCATGACCCTAATCACAAAAGACCACATATATATGATAGTCATATGAAATGTCGAAAACAAGGAAATCCGTACAAACTAGATTAGCACTCAGGGCATAGGGAGGTGATAGCAACAGGGTACGAGGTTTCTTTTTGGGGTGATGAAAATTTCTACAATTGGCTGTAGCGACGGTTGCACGTATCTATGAATATACTAAAAACCATTAAATTGTAACTTTAAAAATTCATATGCAGATAACTTACTTTTGCACTCGTAGAGGGAAACAGAGAACTAGACAATAGAAAAATATTTTGGAATGCATAAAAATAATTTCTAATCTTTGTCCTTATTGATGCCTCTCTCACAGGATCAGAAGAAAGAAAAATTCTGCCTGTTTAGGATCCTATCTTATTTTACTCAAACTGGCTATGTATTTCCTACCTTCCCCCTTATTTCTCAACCTACTCAGTTCTGGTTTCCAACACCTTACTCCAAATGAAACAGCTTGTTAAAATAGCCAACGACTTCCTGGTTTCTCAATTTAATGAACTGGTTTTGGTAATTCTATTTTCACCACCCTGTTATTTATCTTCTATGAAACTATTTTCCTTTGGCTGACTTCTAAGACAAATGTTTGCATTGATATCTTTAGGACTCAGTCTCTTTATTCTCATTTACCTTTTATATATTGTCTTTCCACAGAATTTTGTCCTTGTCATTTATTTCATCTCTCCTTGTAATTTATTTCAAATTCATTCATAGCAAGCTTCACCTCGACTGGTGAATCCTGAACCTGCAACTCCAGCTGGGCTCACTTACAAAACCAGAACCTCTTAACTGCTAACAGACATCATCTCCTAGCTTTCCATCAGGCATCTCAAACTATATTTACAACAGAACATACCCTATTCCATTCGAGCTTTGTCAGTTAATGGGACTAGCTGTCAGCCCATCCAGAAACCTAGTAGCTACTCTGTTCTAGTCTACTATCTCATTACTCTTCTATATCCAGATGATCACCGAGTCCTGCCACGGTACTTCCTGAATATTTTTCTAATGTGTACTTTCCTCTCTCTTCTCCTCTATGGTCTATCCACACTCGCTGCTTATGACTTAGCCCCTTACTGCTGAAGTAACCTTTCTAAAATACAAATCTGATTATGGCATTACCCTATTCAATATCCTCTAATTACCTCTCAACTCAGGATGCCATACTCAGAATTTCTCAAATGGTGCAATACTGGTATTTCAAGACTATTTTCATTGTTCATTATTGTCTTACAGATCTTTTCAGCACCCCTGGCTTCCCAGTAGTACCCCATAATCGCTGAGACTTACCATCCCCCAGTGTGGTGGTACTACCTTAGGTTGAGAACAACTGCATACGATCTGTCTTCATATCTCATCAATACTTTCCTCATTGCTTTCTAGAATTACTTGCAGATGCCACCCTGTTAATCTCTTCTTTCCTTGGATATACCACTCCCCGCTCTTACAATGCTATGCCCTGGCAATGTTCTTATTTGTCTGGAATGCCTTTCTCATGTTTCTCTGGATAGGCAATTACCATTTAAAGCACTCTAATTTCAAGACTCAGTGCCAGCATTATCTCTTCAGTGAAGTCTTCCCATAGGAACAGAGGTTGGGGGCCCTACATCTTGAAAAAACTTCTTTTACAACATCTATTCTATTTAAATTATATATCATGTGATTTTTCCTAGCAGAGATGGTGAATATTTTAGGGTCAAAGATTATATCTTATCTATCTTTATATCTATATAAATGTTTAGCACAACACTTAGCACATGACAGATGCTCAATAAATGCCTGTTCAATGGACTAATTAATTCATTTTCCTTTTGGGACCAATGAAGAATAAACTTGAACTTAAAAAAAATCATGCAGAATTGATCATCTTCTTCCCCACCATACCTATCTATAGTTCTTCAATCTTTATTACAAGGAGACCACTTTTCATTTTGATGGTTCTCCTTTTGAGGTTTATAGTAAATGTAAACTAGAAAATCAAGATGGTATTGAAAACAATAAATCCTGAATGAAAATGAAGGTTTATCTTTGGACATAAGTCTCAGTGAGACTAAAGAGAATTGTTCTTGTTTTCTTCCATGTGCATATACCCAATAAAAATGTTTTATTTTTATTTAAATGTATGTAAAAATGTATGAGAAGCTAAGATCTAGAGGATGGATTCTTAATATTGGAGTCTTCTACCTCATGAAAGTATTGGTCAGATATTTTGTGGATAAGCCTTTTTTTGTGGTGAAAATGTCTCAAAGGGGTCAATGACCCGCCAAAAGGTTAAAATCTATTTATTCAGTGCCCTGGTAAAACATAGGCTTTCATGATTAAAGTAGTGATTCAAATAGGCACCTGAAAATCTTTGGGTTGAAGGTTTATAAACTGAGAGAGAAGGAACAAAAACTCTGCATTTAACCAAGTTCAAAAACTCATTGTAAATTAATATACTATGCTCTTATTTGGTTGAGTGAATTATCGTGAGGTATATTTTTCTTTTTTTTGTGATTAGTGATACCTCTATATTTCACAATTAAGTCAAAGTATCTTGGTGATTCTGTATTTCCCAAAATTCCAACAGACAGTATAAATTATTTTTAGATCATGGTGACAAACATAATGCAAAAAAGATATTTACACATGTGCATACAGAAGACCAACAACATCTTAGCCCTAAGAAACTGTTTCTGGTGTACTTCAAATATTACAATCTTATTCTAATATGCTAAATCAGTAATGAAAATATAGGTAGCAAATTATGGTACTCTAGAAACAATGTAAACCTTATAAATTTAATTTTTTTTTTTTACCTGGGATTGTTTTTTAATGTATTTACTAAAAATTCATGTAGATCTATGCCAGTTGAATCAGTATATTCTTGACTGGAATCTAAAATAAAACAACAAAAAAACCCCGTATAAAGTTGTTTGAAAATAAATCCTTTTCCCTTTTATACATGATGCATATCTTAAATAAAAATAAGATGCCCCACATAGAAAAAATTAACAAAGTAGGAAAAGAAAATTTATGATGAACTCAGGTAACCACAATTTTTCTATTTCTATATAATGAGCAGACATGGGTTTATGTAACTACATGTACATGCATATTCTTAAAAAAACTTTCTCTCTCAAACGTGCGTGTTTTACTCTAAATTCTTTAAAGATCCTTTTATATACTCACCACAATCCTCACGTTCAAAAATGCCTCCTTAAGTGAAAAATTAGAATGGTTTAGACAATTAACTACATTTGTAGCAAATTAAGACAGCTTAGTTCAGTTGTGAATATAAGTAGAGAAAAAAACTGGTGGTAGATAGGAATTTTAGTTCTGAAACAATGTTTATCTAATTAGATTTGGTCAAGTCTATCAACAAAGGCTTGCTTTCAAAATAGTTTTTCAAATATTCATGTTTATTTCTTCCTCTTAACTGTAATATCCTTATGCTGTTTATAATACTGGTCAGCATAATTTAGTTTATAAATTAAAAAAGCATTTTTATAGACTTGTAATGCTAGATGATGGTGAAGTCCCTTAAAATTTATAACGAAAGATAAACATTCTGGATTTCCAAGAATATTGCTACCAGATACTGAATATTTAGGCACTTTGCATCGTAAGGAATTAAATACATTTTAGAGGACTTAATATTCAAATTACAGTGATTCCATTATTTCAATATAGACACAGACGGCAAGAGATCAAGACAGTTATCTTCCTCAGTAGACTCTGACATGTGTTGCAGTTTTCTGGCTAAAGTATATTCTGATGTTCAGAACTATGTACTCAGTACTTTGCTCAGATGAGCAAATACTTTATTATCTCTTTAGGTGGTTCTGTACCTTTTTTAATACAGATATACTATATATCATTATTTGAGGGGTAAAAGATGAAATTATCAACAGTGAATTTTGTTTAAATTCAAATTTTGTTTAAAAAACAGAAATAAATTGCAAACCTCTTGATAACATTTTTCTGGGCAACTTATCATTGGCTTTTTCTTTTTCTGCTTCATCTTTTGAGGGCTTCTCCTCTTTTTCAAATGATTGTGTTAACTGGATCTGAATTTTCTCCTGTTGGGAGGTAAAATCAGTTATTAAATGAAAATAAAGCAATTCAATTACTACCACACATTTGTATTTTCTGAGTAATACAAACGTGTATGGAGGAAAAAAGGAAATAAGATTTTTATTTTATCCAATTAGATTCTTCAAAGTAGAATACAACTTAAAGTCATTTTTACCATTTTTATCAAAGTCTAGATAGAAAATGTTAAAATTAATGTTTTGAGTTGAATATATCAATTGAAATATGTCCTTTAATTATTTTAGCAAAAACAAATGTTTTACATAATAGTTTAAATGTATCTACTTGTAAAACCTCTGGAAGATCAGAACCAAGGTCTTCTTAATCTGTTTTTGTAATGGAGATGCGACGGTGAAGCAAAAGCATAATTATCATCAATCATGACAACAGAAATGCATGAGTCAGCACTTAATAAAAAGTACTTTTTTGGGTATTCCTTATAATCCCATATTACTTCTCTCAACATATAAAAATGTAAGTACAAATATTCCAAAACAAAATCCACATGACTTTTATTATTTCCTGTTTGAGATTTATATATCACTGTTCCTCCTTCAATTACCACAAAGTTGTTTTAGAAAGATTTCAAACAAGATAAGACAAAAGGAGAACTAATTCAACATTTCAGTTTTAAAACAATATCATTACACGCAATTTCAGAACCCAAAGGAATTACTGGAAATTAATTCATATAGCCTAAAAAAGTAAAAACCACATAGCTCTGGATTGTGGTGTTTAGTCAGGCAAAGTTATAAAGAAAAGTATTATAACTTCCACACTATTTATACTAAAGATAAGTGTGGCCTATTTATAGACTAAATTACATTGTTATTCGGTGATGGAAAACATCAATTACTTTGCTTCTCTGGGAAATGCTTGGTGGTAGTACTAGGTATAAAGTTAATTATCAAAGGTGATATAAATTTCAGGATTCTTAAACTTGTAAACACCAGGATTTCTATTAAACATCTCCCCCCCCTTCCCCATAATTCTTTATTTTTGAAATAGTGGTGGCAGAAGAATTTCAGGTCAAATATACGTATTTTTTTCCTACAGGGTTGCTGACTGCTATTTTCCTCTCTTTTCAATTCTGCTTCCCCTTCTATCTCGGTTCAAATTTGTGTTCAAAATATAGGAAAAAAAACTATGCACAGCAATTTTCAATAAAATGATAAACATCTGTTTTATGCCCTCCTTTGTCTTGCTTACTAAACTTCATACATTCATCAACTTACCATTTTTCTCATTATGACTCTTTTTTAAAGGAAATAATCAGGGTAACATTGGTTAATAAAATATAAATTTCAGGTGTACAAGTTTACAATACAACATCTGCATTCCACCCTAAGTCTAGTCTCTTTCAGTCACCTTGTATTTGACCTCTTTTACCTTCCTGGTCCTTGCTCCATCTTCCTTCCCTGATGGTAACCACCATTCAGCTGTCTGTATCTATGAGTTTTTGTTTGTTTTATCTGTTGCTTTTTGTTTTATATCCCATGAGTAAATCATAGGGTTCTTGTCCTTTTCTATCTGACTTATTTCACTTAGCATAATACTTTCAAAATCCATCCACACTGTATTATGACTCATTTCCTTATTCTTTTTATAATTGTAAAGTAGATATTTAAAAATAAATCCTAGAACTATGTTTTAAAAGTAGAATGTTGGAAGTTATCCTGACTTACAGCTTCTATTATTGTTACTCAAGGATAATCCATGAAATCCAGGTTGGAAGAAAAGATTTCACATTTAGACCGTCACTAAAAGGCACTTCCAATGACTATCAGATTTCATTTCTAAATTCTCCTCGTAAAGCCATACATTTTAATTATAGATATTAAACTATTTTATCAAGATAAACTGTATTTAAAAATCTAGAATGTTTAGTGTACTAAAGCCTTGTTTTCAGTAGAAATAAACAAGACATATTTTAAATGCTAAAGTCCTTATACACAAACTTTTCTGACTAAATAACTGAAATGATAGCAACATCTCCGTAGGAAGTAGTATGTAATTCCTTTACTCTTCACTCTGTCATTGACATGTTATTGAGATCACTTCCCTCTTGTAAGCTCTCATCAGACACAAGTAACATCTCTTTTTTAATTGCCTCTTAACCTTTGAATAATAAGTTTTATTCCAGACTAATTCCTCAAAAATTACATTCTGAAGCAAGCATTATTAGTTGGAAAGTGTCTCTACCATCAAGGATTACATATTAGCACATTTCATGAGAGATAATTTATTTTCAAATCCCATTTAGGTGAAATTTAGTTAACTCAAGGCGTGGCAAAAAACTTTCTACTAAAAGGAGTACCTTTTGTTCAGCGAGGGTAATAACAGGTTATTATCCTAAAAGAAAAAAATTATTGTATCCAGGAGAAATTGAGAAAGAATGTATTAAGTGGAATAACTGAATTCTGGCATTGCTATCTTATTTACTATTCATATGCTGTAAATCAGATTTTTGAACTATAAATGCAGAAACTATAACCTGTGATCAATAACATATACATTATTTACAACATATACTCCTGATAGTAATTTTTTTCTCATACAAATTTTCATTAGCTACATTTATGTAGCACTGTTAAGATTTTTCCCCAATATTTTTCAGATTGGTAAAATGTACTGAACAAAACCAAAGACTGCATTACAGTTTTTCTCAAAAAGAATGCACTTTTCTGGATTAATAGTCTTATGAATACCTGATCCTTCTCATTTCCTCAATCTCCTTCAACTCATTATTCCATGAGGCTAAGATGGTGTAACATTTTGGACAATAGAATGAAGAAATGAATTTTCAAAAACCATTATGTTGCCCACCATTCCACCCTGAACAGGCATATTCTTTACACTGACTTGTACAAAAGAACTTTTTTAAATTGCTATTTCAAAAACAATTTTTTATTGATTTTTTTGAGAGTGTATCATAACTCTTCAGCCTTATCAACAACCACGTAAAAGCCACAGGTAGGTCAACATCTGAAAACGTTCTCAGGTAATAGTTCTTAGTAAAATATTTTGACTGTATTTATGCTTTTAGCTAGAAAGTATGTCATTTTATTGCTAAAAATATCTTTTATGGAATACACATAGCTATCTTCTACTTATGTAGTTAAATTTCAAATGAAAATCACATTTTGTTTGTTTCTGACACTTCAACACATTTCAAAGAAAACTATGATTTTTAAAGTATTTTTAATTAACAATAAGCAATCTATTTAAAAAATCTTTTTCTTGCACTTTGGAAACAAAGAGATATAGTGCTTTTAAAAAACAGAACATATTCAAAATATGTGATGAATATCTTCAATATCTAAGATAGTAGGCTTTTAGGGAATCATCTTCTTAACCAAGGCAAAGCATAACAGTATTTGTTTGAATCAACAAATGTATAATTGCCATTTATTTAGAAAAAGACATACACTGGTCATGGCCTTTTTTTTTCATTTTTCTTTTTTTTTTAGTCATGGCTTCTTAAATGACTACAAAGTCCCTTAACTCTTTGGAAACTAATTGTTGGGATATAGGGGGATTTTAGGTTGCTCAAAGTCTTAAGTAGAACAATCCACTAACAGCCAAAGTTATCATTAATAAACATTCACAGAGGGTCCAAAGATATTTATGTATAAAATGCTCAAAAGTAACATGAGGCAAAGATTAATTCACAGCTGAGATTAACAGAAAAGTAGTCATAGCATTAAAAAGAATATAAAAGGCAAATCAAAGTGTTTGTGTGAACCTCAGTAGTTCTCTGTTTTACAAGCATAGGCAGAGAGGAATTAGAAGTATCAGACAATTATTAGAGTCAAGCTAATATAAAAACTGGCTTCACTGGGCACTTGGGTTAAGTAAAATAATATATCAAGCAAAAGTCTTGGATACTCTCCTTTTCACACACAAGAGGTATTTGACACATTTCTAAAAGCCAAAATCAAAAGGGCAAATTTCATCAAATTAAGTGGAAGCTACTTTAATATTTTATAACTTTTCGATAACTAATAACTCCCTTAAAGCCATATACCTGGTTAATTATATGATCCTTAAGGTTTTCCAGAGAGAAATCGTTTTACAAAACCTTGAAGTAACAAGGGTTTTCCCACTTTTCATGTGTATCTTGTATTATCAAAGCAATTTCATTTAGTAAAAACATACATAACACATACACATGCACATGACTTTTAGTTAACTTTATGAAAAAATATTCTCCAGGAAGCAGGTTATTCCACCATGTCTTTAAATAACTTTTTGTTCTTTTGTTTGTTTGTTTGTTTACCTGGTTTTCCTGTGATATCTCTGTTGTAGGGGGTGGTGGAGATTCTTCACACACTGCAAGGCTCCGAACTAGCTTTAACTTTGAGCTTGACTAAAGAAAAGTATTTAAAATTAACACTACATTTTACAAATCTAAGGTATATCCAAAAGCCCCCTAGTGTTCTTAAGTTTTATCAATAGTTTCTGCCACATATAGATGTAGGTGAAATGTGCAAGTTAAATATATCATTAATTATCACTAAAACTCTTTGTTAAGAGGAAAAACAATTACAGTTTTGAAAATTACAGCAATAGCAAGAATGGAAATAATTCCAATTTCAAGACCCAAAGAATGGTAAGAAAGCCATTTTCTCTATAGATAAAGAACCATTAAAGATTATAAAAGCAATACACAAAAGCAACTAGGCAAGACAAAAACCCCAAATAAAACAAAATAAGCTTTCTGCCCCAAACAAAATATGACAAAACTAAACTGAATGCAGCGCTATATGAAAACAATTCATCAAGCATGAAGGAAGGCCCTTGGCATGCCAGCACAAAATATTTACTATACCTTAGACCTTTTTCCTGTCTGTCCAAATGACTGCAATGGCCGCTGAATACACAAGAAAGATTTGCATTAAATTTCATACTGATACAGAAAGTTTTCTTCTTAATTCATAATCCTAAACCACAGAGAAACTAACTGCACAAAGAAGAGAAAATGAGGAAATCAAAGCTGTTTCAAGTAAAAAAGTATTGATTCCTCCCAGAAGCACATTTGCAGAAGATTCTCTAAAATCTTGTAGATTGGCACTTTCTTTTAGTGAGCAAATGGCCATAATTTCTGTTAATTAGGTTAATGGAATTTATAAAGTAACTTCTTGGGTAGTAGAAAAATAAAATATACTTTTTCAGTATTTTATATTATACTTTAGGCAAGTCTGGGGAGAGGGAAACCCCACAAAAAACCTGAGGAATTTTAAGTAGCTCTGCTCAGCAAAATTCCTAACTTACAAAGGAAAATGTGCAAATGCACACCGAGTCCACAGTACAACCACCTAACTACTGTGTCTTTTCAGCACTGTATGAAGTATACCATCAGTTTATCAGTCACAGAATCCTGTTTGCCTGGTCTACGGTAAGGCAATGAAGCAGAAATGAAGAAAAGAGGGCAGAGTTCCAATATGCATGTTCAGCATGATTGCCAAATCATTAATCACATGACTGGGGAACCCACTGAGATAACTAGCTCTAGTTTGTGATACCAGACTTTGGTTTGGGAAAGCAGCTGAAGTGTCCGTGCAACAGAGCCAGACAGGTTTTAAACATGCTTTACTTCCTCCCACCTCCTTCCAATCTATACCTCTCTAACCCCAATCACAAACAGTACAAGGGCCAGATACCTAACATTTATGCTCATTAAAGCCTGGGAGTCAGTTTGCTACCAAACATAAGACAGATAAAAAGTCAACATCTAGATTAGTATGCTTCACATATGAAAAAAAGGTCATCATTTTATTCTATCATCCAAAAAGTCTTCCTTGTAGAACCAACAGAAATGAGAATCTGCAGTAAAAGTATGTTCTGTCCCTCATTATAAGCCCAAAGTTCTTGAGATAAGAAGCGCTGTATTCTTCGGATTTTTACCCTGGAATACCCATACTACAAATTAGGAATAACGACAACAAAAGGAAAGTAGAAAGAAATAAAGAAAAATGACTTTTTGTTTCTTACAGAGAAGAAAATGGCTCGTATGCACACACATATACACATGGCAGTGCTACCTAAGAACTTTGGCACATTGGTACTGTTTTCTGATTCTATTTAGTCTCTCATTTGTTCAAGAGGATTTCTAAATGTAACTCATATCTAAAAGTAGAATTAAAAGAAGTTATACTACACAGAGTAAGGACTTAATCAACACATGACTACTAATGATATGCACATGACTAAGTGAGTTCTAAGGAAGGAGAAGGGAAAAGAATTTTTGACTTACTCCCTTCCTGTTTTAATCCCTTAAAACACTAAGTATCAAGGGTACAAAACTTTCTATTAAAAATTTTAAAACAAGAGATGATTCATTGACAAGTAAAAGCTATATTCATATGCATAAGGTTGAATTTATTTATTCATTTTTTAGGTGAGGCAATCCTTGGTTGACCTCATAGATTGCAAGGACCTTTTCAGTTTACAATCCCTTATTTTTAAATTTTTTTTTATGCCTATAGCACCTGGTCTTCCTAGGTGTTCTCCCATCCAAGTACTAACCAGGCCCGACCCTGCTTAGCTTCTGAGATTAGACTGGATCGGGCTTGTTCAGGGAAGGTTGGATTTAAATTTCTGGCTTTGCTTATTAGTAGGTGACTCTGGTCAAGTTATTTCAGTTTACTAATATCTGTATAAAAGTTCATACTATTTGAATAAATTCTCAAGATTCCTGAAAAGGTTCAATGAGAGGGTAGACTTAAAAAAACTAAAGCACTGTAGTTAAGAGGGATCATTAAAGGTTATATACCTAGCATGTTAGGAGACCAATGTCCTGTGCGAGAGGGGCTGCAGGAAGCCTTGTAGGGCAGAAGGTGGCCCTTAGCCAACAGTCAACCAGGAAGTATGAACCTCAGATCTACAACTGCTGAGCTTTGCCAACAAGGGGAAGGAGCTCAGAAGCAAATTCTTCCCTTGTCTTTAGGTAAGGGCCCAGCCTGGCCAACACCTTTGATTTTAGCCTTGCAAAACCCTTAACAGAGAACTTCTAATCTACGGATATGATACCTACAACCTAGTTGTAACTGGGTACTGTTTTGTACCTCAAGTCTGTGGTAATATGCTATGCAGCAATAGAAAACGAATACACTACTGCATAAGTAAACTATAAACTGTTAAAGTGACATTATTCTCTAAGACACATTATTTCATTTCAAATAGCAAAGAACTGAAACTACTTAATGTATACCAGAAAATTTGCCATAAACACATGTATACAGAACAAAGCAGAGAAAACAAGTTTTATTTATTAAAGTAAACAACCTTTGTTTTGTATCAATTTGGTAGCCAGGTTTGGCTTTAAATAGGAATAAAATTATTTAAAAAATGAATTTTATCATTTAAAGCATTCCTTTCAATTTTTCTCAATTTTTTTATTGTGAAAAAATATACATAAAATTTAACATCTTAACCATTTTCAAGTATACAGTTCAATAGTATTGAATATATTCATAATGTTGTGAAACCACCACCACTATTCAGATTTATAATTCTTTTTATCTTGTAAAACTGAAACTTTGTACCCATTAAATTCCCATTCTCTTCTCCTTCTAGGCACTGGCAACTACCATTCTATTTTCTGTCTCTACAGTTTAGACTATTCTAAGTACCTGATATAAGGAATCATATAGTATTTGTCTTTTTGTAATTCACTGATTTTACTTTGTATAATGACCTCAAAGTTCAACCATGTTGTAGTATGTTGCAGAATTTTCTTCCTTTCTATGGCTGAATAATATCTCACGTTCGAGGATAAATATTATTGAATAATAATGATCAATACAATGGACTATCCATTCATCTGTCGATGGATGCATTTGGGTTGATTCTGTTTTGGCTATTTTGAATAATGCAATGAACATGGGAGTACAAACATCTCTTTGAGATCCTGCTTTCAATTCTTCTGGGTATATACCCAGAAATGAAATTGCTGGATCTTACGGTAATTCTATTTAATAACATTTTTTAAAAGGACCTCCATACTGTTTTCCACAGTGGCTGTACCATTTTAAATTCCAAATAACACTATGTAAGAGTTCCAATTTCTCCACATCCTTGCCAATACCTGTTTGCTGTTTTTTGATAGTGGCCATCCTAGTGGGTGTGAGGTGGTACCTCACTGTACTTTTGATTTGCTTTTCCCTAATGGTTAATGACAGTGAGTTATTTTTTCATGTACTTAGTATTGGCCATTCACATATCTTCTTTGGAGAAATGTGTAATCAAGTCCTTTGACCAGTTTTGAATTGAGGTGTTTTACTGTCGTGTTTTAGGAGTTCTCTATATTTTGTGGTTGATCTTTTCTCAGATATATGATTTGCAAATATTTTTCTCCTATTCTGTGGGTTGCCTGCCTTTTTACTGCTGATGGTGTTGTTTGATGTAAAAATTAAAAAATTTTCATGAAGTGCAGTTTATCTATTTTTTCTTTTGTAACCTGTGCCTTTGGTGTCATATCCAAAAAAATCATTGCCAAATACAATGTCATAAAGCTTCTGTCCTATGTTTTATTCTTCCCCTTTATAAAAGAAATAGTGATTCTTATTCAATTCGGTATTCTGATTAGAATAAGAGCAGTGAGAATTATGTTTTACCAACATTGCAGTGTTACTACATTATTGTGATATGGCTTCACATTGATTGTATACAGAGAAAAAATAACACAGGAAGAAAGGCAATAATATATGCAAACATATATGCAAACCAAGCACATTACCCTGACATGGTCCACAGTAAAAAGCTCTTTTGGTTAGTTAGTAGTTGATACTGCTGCACACAGACAGTCATTTAAATAATTCCTCCTACTGGCCTACAATGGCCAGAAGAATCTTTAGTAATCTCTAACTGTGTCACTTGCAATCACTGTGCCCAGGGTCTTCTGATACCTCTAAATGAACATTTGTTTTATTTGTACAAGATCAATCTCACTTAGTTGTTACTCTCTGAGTTCAAGTGATCACAATTTGACCAGGATGGAGTCGTCTGTGACAGCACCTTTCATGAAATAGTACAGCCTCTCAGCAAAGAAAGCAAGGTGGTTCAGGGAATACCACAAGATGGTCTTCAAATCACTTTTGACATTTCCAGAAAACTCATGGCTAATACTGCTTAACAAATCTCCATTAGCCATCCTGGAAAAAGCCTCCATGGTAGAGCTTTCAGCGAGGAAAGCTTCTTGAGGCAAGAATCAAGATAACACAAGATTCATCTATCTCTAGTCTCCCCTCACCACCTTGATAGAGATGCTGAGCATCTTTCTGAACCAAATGGTGGTTAATTTGTGAGCATTTGTATGTGTTCAGCACTTTACTCTTTCAAAAACCATCCATCTTGAGATTAACCTGGCTGGTTTATCTGTCTCTCATCCGCCAAGTCTCACAAATTAGGAAGCTCGTCCTTTCTCTGGACAGGGTTGCCCCCTGGAGTATACTATTTCAGCAACTGTTTCAGCATCTACAAAACTCATCAGAACGATGAATTCATTGTAAAGTGCACTAAAACACAGATGCTTTTAGGTTAGTTGAGGCCAAACTAGGTTGGGAAAGGTCATGACTGAAGGAAGCGGCATGGTGCTCTGGAAAAAGTACACAGAGGTAGGCTAGTGTTCAGCCCTAATTGTGCCATTGGCTCTCCAGGTGACCTTGGCAATTCATTTCCATGGACACAGGTCTCTGGAAAATGGAAGGGTTGCTCAGACCAAGAAAACTTTTTAGCTGTGACCTTTGAGTTCTATGAAATCTAACTACAAAATGATGTGAGTCCTCCAGTTTTGTTCACTTTCATTACCTTGAGCTCCTTTTGCCAACTTGATCTTTTTGGGGAGAAATGTCATATGGATTAACAGAGGAC